ACACGTGAACTAATATGACTATATATATATTCTTATGATGAATATATATGAAAAACTAGTAGTGTTCTGCTTTTTATAATTAATATTAAACTCAATATTAATCATGAGTAGAAATTATATCTATTATACAGCATGTAAAAACAACACAATGTCTAATGTATACACTGTACAGTAGATAGGTATATAACGTTCTACAATGTTGATAAATTATGAGATGCTTACCGACAGACAAGAAGTCTCTGCAAGTTGTTTGAAACAATTTGAGGAGATGAAAATCATCAAAATCTAATGGTTGCCAAGACAACAGGTTAGCAGACGACGTATGATTGGCGCCGGAACATCTCTCTTAGGACGCACAATGGCTGAAATGTTATAGTGACATGTGTGGGAAGATCGGTGATGCGTGCTGTGTATTTGTCACGTTCTATGAATGAGTGAGATGAATGATCCATTGTTTTGTTCTAAATTAGGGAAAAAAATATTCGAGAATACTATATAGTCAAACATACATACAAATGGCTTGAAATTTGCTTTGCTTGCCTCAATGATGTGCTCAAATGAACAATTTATTAAAATACATTATAATATTTATATTACAACAACCACACATATCTATTTCTTTTTACACTTTCTAGTAGTTTACTGTTTTTTAAACTAATCAAACATTTATGAAGCGCCAATTTCAAATATATTATCGAAGAGCAGAACAAACAGCAAAGATTCCAGTATACACAGTTTGAAGATTGGTTGAATAACGAGTTAATTAAATCAATAAATTTATCAAACTATTTAAAGTCAATTAATTTGTCAACATCCAACATCCAGTAGTGGCAGCAGTGGGAAGGCAAGGAAGACATTCCCCCAACCCCTCCCACCTTCGGACAGGCCTAGACCCCTCGTCGTCTGATGCCACCAGGATTTTGGACCAAAAATATTAATTTGCCTATCCAAACAATGTTATTTTTTTGATTGCCAATCCCTAATATTGTGGTCTAAAAGCACAACTTGGGCCATAATAAGCCATAAACACTACCAGGGATTTTTTATTCTGGGACCCTGACCAATGCTTTAATCCACCCTTTGGTTCAGACCCTGCATTGGACATGTCAAACTCAGTCTGCAAATTTATGGAGCCACCACTGGTTAAACCATTCAAGGTTTATTTCTGATTTAAATATTTTTTTTTACTATGAAAATCTTCAAATTTACACTACAGTATATCTTTAAACCTACATACTATAATTTAACAATTGCTAAAATACTGTAGCTAATATCATATATCATATTTTACCTGAATAAATTTAAATAAATATATTATTACAGAAATGTGTAAATAGTTTGATCATTTGATATTATAACATTTAGTTTATGGTAAAAAATTAATAAGCATTCAATATTTGTCTTTTTAAGGCCTTTGAAAAATGAATTCTGGTCACTGAATCTCAATTGTAGTAGGAAAACTATCAGTTTTGTTGAACCATTTTCCCCCTTGTGCTTTGCTTGAATAATAGGTCATCAATATGGCACCAGGGCAAAATTTGTGTTGGAGTACTCACTCACTGAAGCGTAAATCGTAAATTCATCCAATGGTTAATTAGACAGAAGAAAGTGACTTTTCAGTTGCTGAAAACTGAAACTGTTGCTAAGGTAAGCAACTAATTGGTTCAACAAAATAAATAATTTTCCTCCCATACATTATAGAACCAGATGAAATTCATTAAGATCAAAATGTTATGTCAAGGCAATAATTTATAAAAACTCAAGTAAGCATACCACCCACATACTAGGAATGACTTCAACATATAATATTGATCAATCAACTCAATGGGTCCTCTCTATTGCAATCTAAGTATCAGGAATTCTTTGGAATGGGTTATCAGGTGCTTCAAATATGCATCAATCCTACAAAACAACTTATTAATAATCCAGTAAGATTTCTAATGTTTTTTTGTTATTATACAGTATATACTTTTCTTTAGAAAATTTCAAACAAACTCTATGAGTGTCTCCAGCAGCATCTGGAGTGGTCTTAATGAGGATGGTTCTATTGAAGCGTTAGCACTTTAGAGTGGTCTTCAAGCAGACAGTTCTGGTTCTCCAGTATCATTTACTGTAGATTACTTTTCATGCTGAGGCTTGTATTTGTTCTCCAGTATCTTCTGGATTGATCTTTATGTAATGTTCTACTATTGGTTTTCCAGCATCTTGTAGAATAATGTTCATGCACAGGTCTCCAGCATCTTCTTATTTTCTAAACTGGACCTTCTACTACTTTTAAGTTTAATTCATCATCTGCTGATTCTTGATCTACATTGCGGTTTTAAAAAGTCCTCTTTAATAGTTCCATCCTGAGATGATTTGTCCAGTAGAATGTTGTCATGGTTCTTTTAGTGATATCAAGGTTCAAATTTCAAGGCTTTTGTTCTGGATGTTCAATCACTTGGGCAGGTTTCTTATTTCCTTATATCTGTAGAATAAAACCGAGATATTTTTTTATTAAAAAAAAAACATCAATTACCCTCCTCAACACTCAAGGGAGGAACAAATTTTGACTGGGCCTTTAGTGCCCTGTAGACACTAAGGGCGATTATCAAGTTGCAGATTACCTGTATCCAACAATTAAGATGTTAGTGAACGTAAGAAATTACACCATAAACACAGATACACAAAAACAACTTTAATACTATAGCTTAGTCCACACACAAGCAAGCATCACACAAAGATACATCTGCGGCAGTTGCTCTATTATCTCATTCACCTATTTTCAAAACGTGTGGTTGTGACATCACGCATATAGCGTCATGCATAGAATGTAGTACTTAGGATTTATTTCATGTCGGTATACAGTATGCTTAAATTTGCACTGAACACGACTGGTGAATGGCGTCCATTGGGAACGAGTAGAAGAGACCAAGTGAAAAAATTACTTTTAAAAATAACTAAGGGATTCCTACATGTTCACATGCAGTGCGCAAGTTAATATGATGTATCCAAAGACATTTTGCAGACTAAAGCATTGAAGATGAATAAAACAAAAGACGAGATGCACTCATCAAGTCGCAAAAATATAGACTGATGAGAAAGAAGGAATTCCAATGAGGTGGGAGAACGATTGAAGCCAAGAGTTAAACCAGAGAAGGAAGAACCAATGAGAGATGTTGAGTAAGATACTGCATCAGGAAAAGTTCAACATTTGAAGAAAAGAGGTTCTGATTGGAAATAAGTGGCCTACACACAAAAAAAAAGCAAGGATATGCATGTGCTGGCTAAATAGAACAAGGCAAGATTTTGGTTCACTCAGTGTTCAGCATTTCAAATAAACATATTATGTTTAAGCTTGCGGTACAGCACGTAGGTAGTTCTGAAAAGAACTGTTGTAGTTGAGAATTATATAAAATTCTTGAAAACATGAAGAAATGAATAAGAATTATTAGCACATCAATACAATACAATATATGAATTCTTGGAACTAGAACTAGTGAGCTGCTGAATGTACAGTAAATTGGCCACTGTTTGTAAATGTTGTAATACAGTACCATTAAATAATCACCACCTGTAAATAAAAGACTCTCTAAATCCTCTAAATTTGTTTAAGCGCAGAGGGACAAAAACAAAAAAAAAACAAAATATTAAAACTGAAAGGCCACTAAAATAACATTAATCAAGAGTACTATAGCTGCTGGTTAGAATACAGTATTATTAAACCATACTTCACACCAATAATGTTAATCACTTGTTAAGGCACACTGTCTTACTACTATTAGAATCAAAATGACTGCTGGCAGGGGGAGAGGGTTCCTCTACTGGGGGAAGCGTTGACACTGGCATACCCTGCTGATGTTCTTCTCTTCTTTCTATAGCAACAGAGGGTGTAATGGCAGTTACCAGAACTGATCAATTATAAACTATTACTAAGCAACTGTGGCTAGACAAAATTCATAATTTCTCTTTTTATATTGTACATTATTTTTTTTACAACTTACTTGTTCTATTTCCACCACTGGGTGGCCTGGTCTGTGGTAGTGAGTCCGAAAGCTTAGGCTGCGGTGCAGGGCTCATGCCTCTACTGACAGGCCTGGCTCCTTCTGGAGTCCTTGGGATCTTAGGCCTAGTTCCAAAGGCAGCATTGTATTCTAAGTTACTGTGAAAGAAAAGTGTTGTTAAGATTGATAGGACGCGATACATATTATATATATACGTAAATTATTCAAATGATACATTTGATTTAGCAACAGGAATTACAGTAATGACAAGTGGATATGCAAAAATTATATAAACAAGTCATTTAAATAATACATGACAGAAAAACCACAGATAAATACAATAAAGATATGCATAAAATATGCAAAAATAAAATCTGCTTTAGCTTTTGGTATTTTCCTTTTCTTTTTGTTTTCTTTTGCTCTTTTCCTCTAAGTTTTTCTTTTAAAAACATTTGCTATAGCTCATATAGAATCTGTAATTTGTGCTCTATAAATGCTGAGCAAAACCAATATTTATGTGGATGTAAATTAATTGCTTACTTTCTTCCATTTTGTGGAGCAGTTGGCTTCATGGGAACCTTATCGATTGCGGCCACTACGGGACGATCTGTCTGTAATCAAAATCAGATAATTAATTATCTAAATTATCTTGGAGGTCTTTCCTTGTACAGTATTATACAATATACTAATTCTGATTGGATACAATTTCAGATCTTATTATACAAGCATACTAACCCCAAGTTCACTAGCAATAATCTTCTGTGCCTGTGGATCTTTCTCTGTAAGAAAAATTAATCAATAGAATGAATATATATATATATATATATATCAAATAAAACTCAGGAACAAGGTATATATTTGCCAATCTTATACACATCTTGTGTGTATGCATTAAGAATCATATAATTATTATATTATATATAATTATAATATTATATATCATATCATAAGTGTAATCCTTTTTAATAATTTCTTTTACACAAATCGTATAAATATTCTAAACAAATTATTCAGAACAAAAAAGCATTCCTACTTAAAGCTAGTGGTGGTGGTGGCATTGCTGGAGATGTAAGATGTTGATCTTGGGATGAAGGTCGGCTTCCACTCCGACTGCCGCTTCGAGTTGGTGGTCGCGAATTCTAAAAAAATGACAAATTTTAAAAACATGCATACCTTTGTGAAATATAATCGACGGCAGAAATTGAGGTAAGAAAAAAGTCATAATAGAAAGAATTGAAAAAGTTGCAACAGAAGTAAACCGTGAAATAACTTCCAACTGTTGAGTTTTGTCTAATGTGTTGGTGGCTAGTCACTCACTTTTTCAATTCAGCTCATTTATTTTCCAGAAGACACATACAGTACTTATAAAATTCAACACTAGTCACTAAGCACAAGCTCGCCAGCCTACTGGTTATGACACCAGGCAAATGTTCTGGCGGTTGTGGGTTTGATTCCGACCCGAATCACTTCCAAATTTGTTTTCGTAAGTATTTTGGGACGTACTGAGTATTCAGTACGATAACACGTCAGGTAGAGAAAAACATCACTCCCACGATATTTTTTTTATACAAACACATATCAAAATAAAATTAAAGAAATCATGCAACAGTTTGGCGGATTGTTAAAAGTGACAAGTTACTGCATAAAACTCAACTTCTGGTGCAAAATAAAGTTTTTATTTATATATTATAATTTAAAATAAACAACAAATTAAAGGTAAGACTTAATAATGTTATACTACCTGACCATTCATGTTGGTAGGAAATGGCTCACTAGAAAATTAAAGAAAATTATATAGAATTAGTTTTCCTGTAATTTAAACTTTATAAAATAGCAAGTCTCAGAACTGTACAGAATTTAATATAGGAAAATATTTACATTAAAATATGTTTATTAATTATTACTTTTTTTTAAATGATTCAATCATATTTAACGAGGGTGACCATTTCAAATGCAAGCATCAATATATGCGGCCCTCCGATAAAAAAATTAGTTAAAATATTCACAACTATCTCACTCGGAGGTCAGCTAAAAGTGATATTGACAAAGAAAAGAACATCATATGAAGACAGTATTCTCACTTAACGTAAGGGTGAAGCCATGCCAGCATCCGTAAAAAAACATTCAAATAGGCATTTTATTATAGTGACAGTGTTGGTTTTGGGATGGCAGGACTCAAATACTGTATTTAAGTCTTACCCTCTACTCATTTTTGTTATAATTTGGAAAACTGATCTTTGTCTTTGGATTTTCTTAACATTGTATATTTATATGTTGATTTGTTATCTATGTTATACATAATTTAGAAAACAATAAATAAATAACTTTGCCTGCTGCATTTAAGTTGAATTAGAAATTACTTTAATTTGTCTGAACTTGAATTTTTCATTTAGGTAAGTAAATTTAATTTCCTCCTATACTATTATTTCTCCATTTTTCATTCCTTATGCCTTACCTGTACAATTTTTTAGGTGCATTGCCTCCACCCTACAAAATAAGTTTACAAGTCTAGTTAATAAAAAAAAATTAACAAGATATAATCAAATAATCAGTAATTACAAAATAACAACATGCCATAATAATTTATCATTGAACAATATAATAAGTTAATTAAAAAGCCAAGCAGAAATTGCACAAGCCATAGTTATAGTTATTATTTAGATACAAGTATACATTTGTGTTACCGTCATGTAATGTGCTAACAGTAGTTTTTCCCCAGTCAACTCGCCCGAGCGAGGGCGCAATAGCTCTTTTTTGTCAAGATCAACCTCCATAGAGTCTTGGTCAGCATCCTCCTGTTGTTAAAAAAAGTTGGATTGGAGTGAATTAGATTTATTTGGTGTAAACTTCAAGGATAACCTACAAAAGTGTGAAGAAGACATATTTCCAGTGGGGTTCTTCTGGTGGTGATTGGTCAGTACACCGGGAGACAATCCCTACTTTTTTTCCAAAGAGTGTACATTCTTTAATGTGCAAATGGGCCATATTGCACACGTGACTAACAGCTTAAGCATTTCATGTGAAAAAAAGTTGCGCTATTGAAACTTGCATTTCAGCCCTCCAGCTGAAACACAAGGAGAGCCATGATGGGTATTGAACCGGGACCAAGAGATCTCCACGACTCAGAACACAATGGAAAGTGTTCAGGAAAGAGAACCAGGAAAAGGGAAGTCAAATATGAAGTGATGAAGGAAGGCAAAAAGGGAGAGAAGAATAAATTTAACCTCATTTTCGTCTTCATCCTCATCATCTGAATCTTCCTCTGCCACAGCATCTGTAAAAAAAAAACATTAATTAATGTTAATGTTTTGACTAGCTATACTATATTTTTGTAGGCTATCCTAGAATTAAACTTTGTAATTTGTATTTAATTTAAAACTATTTACCATACCTAGATTGAGTTTCTTGATTATATAATGTAATTGTCTATTTAGGTCACTGTCTGGTTCTTCTTCCATAAAGCATTTCAGCATGTCCTCCAATCCCTGTAAGGTGAATGATAATTATTAGTATCTAATTACTGTATATATTATATACAATTTTGAACTGATCTATTGGTGTTTATTAAGGTTTTATAGATTATTTTCATTTAATTTAAATGTAATTGTAATTGTTATTAATGAACACATGGAAAATGGAGCAATGGAAGAACAAAATATTTTTAAAAAAGTGGGAAAAAATGGTTGAATGACTAAATGAATAAAAAAGGACTTCTATTTCCTTCACATGCAACAGCAAGTAACTTGTAAATTTCAAGATGGAACAATGCTTCATAAACTGTCTCTGTTGGAGGCTTAGGGAGTGGATTTGATTTAGACATGAGAAAATGTTCTGCTGTTACAGGAATTGAACCCATGACCCTGTAAGTAGGCAAGTATCTTAACCACTAAGGATAAATGGGTGGATAAATTCAAAGAATGATTGATTGATTGAATAAATGAATGAATAGATGTGTGGATGGATGTATGGATGTATGGGCAGACCGACATATGAAGGGACAGAAGGATGGACGGCGGGACAGACGGATGAATACACTGATAGATGGATACATAAGTACACAGGTAGCCTGATGAATGATATATGGACAAATGAATTGACTGACATCTACGTTAGGATTACATTGGATTGGATCTATTCGGTGTAAACACCAAGGATAGCCCACGAAAATTTAGAAGAAGACAAATTTCTAGTGGGGTCCTTCTGGTGGTGATTGGGCAGTACCCAAGGAGACAATCCCCTAATCTTTTCCAAAGAGTGTACTGCGTTCTTTAACATGCACATTGGCCATAAATGCACACACGACCAACGGATTAAACGTCTCATCCGAAAGACGGTGCGCTATTGTAACTTCTATTTCAGACCTCTAGCTGAACACAAGGAGAGGCAGCGATGGGAATTGAAACAGCGACCTAGAGATCTTAACGGTTCAGTGTACACAGAGTGGCTACCACCAGATTAGCCGACTGAACTAAGCTACTCTTTATTAAAAGAATGACTAATTGATAGAATAAATAATTAAGAGATGAAAGAATGAATAACCCTTACCATGGCCTTTGCCTCTTCCCTTATTTCATCCAAATCCAAAAGACTATAGAGTGTACCATTAAGAAATGGTTGAATCTATTGGAAAAAAGGAATTCAATCATTAACATAAATATCTGTATATAATTTGAATAAACATATAGCCGCTCAATATACTGTTTAGAAACATATGGGACACGACAGATAATGCAGTGAAAAATAATATGTATTTGTATTTTGTATTTTTATTCAAATATCCAACATTGTAAACACAAATAACAGGATGAACGAAAAATATATAAGAATATAATAAAGATAAACAGTACACAATAATCATTAAAAGCCTAACAATTTATTTCCATAATTAAATATTTAGACATAGCATTATTAATCAATTAAACTAAATACTTCATGTACAGTACGTTTAAAATTTGAAAAATTACAATTAAAAACATCCAATTCAGGAGAGGAAATCCAACAAAAAATACCATTCTCACAAACATTCTCACAAGAGAAATTTACATATAGAATTGATTTAGAATAGAGACTACAAACAGGAACATTAAAATAGAAATTAGAAACAAGATTACATGTAAAAATAGAGTTTAAACACGATCAAAGTATCTACATACCTCTTGGTGATCGAATATTTCCAAAAGAACCTTTAATATTTTACCTCTCAACGGAATACATTGCCTTTTACCTAATAAAAACATAATTAATAATAGTGAAGTCTCATTATGTGGGCTCTTGCCCATTATGTCTTAATGGGGGGGGGGGGGTGTGGGTGTGGGTGTGTGTGCCTGCATATATGGTTTTGTATCTGTATGTTAGAATTAATTAGTAGGACACTCACCAGCAGTTCTTAGACAGAGGTTCATGGTTAGAGCTGCAGAGAATTCTAGCATGTAATCTGATTGGTTCTCATGGTCTTCTAGGACCGACACCAGCCATTCAACTAGACCATTATCTATCATTGCATTTTGTGGTCCACGCCTGCAAGAGATAACAAACTGTTCGTTTACATTTTCAGATTAACTAATACTTTCTTTTGAATCTAATTAAAAACAATAGTGTAAAGATCCATATATGAATTTAAAGGGTTTTGACTGGTTGCAAAAAAAAGATATGTTGAATTTATGAAGATGCTATCATCCTCCAATTGTAGCCTTGTGTATGGGTATGGTATCTCCATTAGCACATAGGTTTCAAAACATGCATTTGCATAATATCAGATCCTTTCTATGTAGCTTACCTTAAGCTAAGCTTTTGCATGGCTCCTAGTGCATTCTCCCTGGTTATCAAGTCAAGCTTCTCATTCTGAACAACCACCTTCAACTGGGTCACTATACTGGGACCTATTGCTAGATAGGATCTCCCTGGATGTCAAAAGAATGCACCAAAACAATAGTTTCAGATTTATTATATATTGTAATTGTAATTTGTGCTTTACCTATCACTAATAGCATAAAGCTAAGATACAAAATTTGATAAAAAGATTAATCAATAACAATATATCAACGATATTTAATATCCATATTATAGCTGGAATGGTCTTGAGGCCAAATTCTGGGAAAATTATTTTCTAACATATAAACAGTTCCCTCACCTGGTGAAAGTGATGCTAATGCATTGATGAACCTTGACATGTACTGTTGAACTATAACATCATCAGAGGTCAAGTGGTTTAACAGCTGCGTCTATGGAAACCAAGAATTTACATTATGTAAATGGAAGTGGGCTAATCAGGAGAAGCAGTAAGGTAATTTGGGCTATCTATAAATATCTGTCTACCACATAGAATTATACAACACATAATTGGTACCTTGCATGATGAGAATGATTTGGAATAAATTGGATTGGTGCAGAACGGAGCATTCCGTTAAGCCTTGCCCTCTTATAGTTGCTACGGTCAGGTCCCACAAAATGACATCGTTGACGTATGCTAACACGTGGGACAACATGTGGGACAACCCGTGTTTGTGGAGCAAGGGCTTATTACTAGGCCTGTACTGATTGGTCAGATTGATTGACAATAATAATAATAAAATGTTAGACTACATTATATAACTGTGTTTAATGCCAACATGGTCTCTAGTCTCTATGCTTGGAATAAAACACTGGTTGATATAAAAAAAATCCCCTAAGTTAGTTTAACTTTTGGACTTTTCCTTGTAATTAGGATCATGTTTTTGTGCAATTTTTTATCTTGTCTATTTTTTTGTATTACGTGTTTATGTATGTATTTTACGACTCTGATTACAAACAAATTCAATTCAATTTAATTCAAGTGCTTCACATTATTACCCCCAATCCAGAAAGGTCCATTTCAGGCATGGTCAAGAATGCTCCCTTCAGGGGGAGGGGGGATCCAGAGATGTCCAAAGGGAGGGGGGAGGAGAAAATAGATAATACTATCCTAGGGGTTCTGGGGGCATGCCCCTGCGAAAATATTTGTGTTCTAGACGCCCGAAAATAACCTCTTTTTCTTTCTTTATTTCTCTTCTTTTTTCTTTTTTTTAACCTTCAAAAAGGGGCGGCCGGAGCTGGCCTGGCCCCACCCGCTAAATCCGCCCCTGCCCTTGGGAGCAAAGGAAGTTAAACACGGTGCAAATATAATTTTAAATCTAATGATCAGCAGTATTAGTGCTTTGTAAAAGGTGCTAACTAAATCAATTTATCAATTTTTTCAAATCTTTAAGAAAAGAATTTTTTTTCAAAAGGAATTGAAAAATACTTACAAGGAGCTGACTGTCGTTTTTGCAACCCAATATGTCGTTACTAATGTAATCTTTCACCACATGAGTGCGCTGCTCACCTTCTTGTGACTGTGTTAATCGCTGAAAATTTTTAGAAAAGAATTGCGCCTCAAAATTATATAACGCCACTTTTACTATTACTGCCACTTTAATAAAATCAGAACTATTATCTTAATTATAATCTATTATAATTAACAACACATTTAAATTAACATACTAAATATCATTATCAATCATCTTTATCGTTAACATATTATCAAGGACACCTTAGTGTAATTTCAGTTTTATTGTTTTGATTGTATATGTATATGTCTTTCCTTACTCGAGGTTATCTGAATAAATTGAAATTATCATTGTCATATTCATATGATCATCATATTGAAAATCATCATCATACTCAAATCGTTGTCATCACCATAATCAAACTGTTGTGGTCATCATTGTCACCACCATCGCCACTACCATCGTTGTTTATTTTCTTCATCATTGCCATCATCATCATCATCATCACCATCACCATCACCATCACCATCACCATCATCACCATCACCATCATCACCATCATCATCAACATCATCATCATCACCACCACCACCACCATCACCATCACCATCACCAACACCATCACCATCATCATCATCATCATCATCATCATCACTAATATTGCTTTCATCATTACTGTATAATTATCAGCTCCACCCCTCCCCCCCATCAAAAATCTCATCATCACCAATATCCCAATCATCAACTTCATCCCGTTTAACTTTATCTTACCCATCGTAACGCCTGTAGCAGCTTGGCACACTCCCTCGACTCAGCATATACCGCATCATGCTTTACTTTGGTGTAGTCAAGCGAAGGCGGCACAGCCAAATTTTCAGGACTGTAAAAAATACACATAGTAAAGGCATCCTGTAGCATGGAGAAATTAGCCTATACTAACTTCACAATACATTTTCAGGAGTAGAGACTATTGAGTCACGGTACCATGTGAAACCACTTGGCAACTACCAGTCAAATGGTTGTTAAATGCCTAAAAAGCTAACCCACTGTTTCCATAGCTTTTTAACTAATGTATTAGAACAGAACAATTTTCAATAAAAACTGACCTTAAAATTGGCTATCCAGTTTAAATTCAATTATTTATACTATATGTTTACAAGGTAGAAATACAGGTGCAATGTTTTAAAATTATGTTAAACAGATAAATGTCATTTTAAGAGTGCTGACAAACATTCTAACATAGAGAAAGCATGTTTTTTTTTTATCATTTACCAGCTAGAGAATACATACCTTTATATTTTACTACTATAGCTTGTTTGATACCAACTTATGAGGGTGCCACTTTTAAGCGTACAAACCAAAATACCAATGAAAAATAATGACTGTAAACTGACATCTGTCTTGTTTAACTGCCATATTCAATAATTTTCCATATTTATTATCCATGCACCAAAGCTTAAAGAGGTTCTCCAGCCAATTATTAGGTGATCACCCACCACCCTACACCCCCCAGGATATACTTGGGAAGTTTAACTTCTTCAAATATGGTTACAAAATATTGAAAAACAATCAAAAATATATTATGTATAATGAAGTGGTAAATCTACAGCTAATGATTAGCAGTAAAACATCAACCAATCACTATCCTGAGACACATGAGAGCTGTCTGCTTGTACTGATGTGCACATGTGAGTTGGTGAAAGTACAAAGCTCTTGCGTGCGATGAAATTACAAACAAATTTTGTCTTACAACACTTGCATTCCCCAGCCCACATGTAGGTTAATGCAAGATTTTTATATATCTTGTTTTGTGAACTTATATTTTTTAAGATCGTCAGAGGGTGGAAAAAAATTTAAAATAAAATTTAGTTTTTAATTGGTCGAAAATAAAATTTATTTTTATTCGAAATCATCATTATTTGCAGGCGGCAGGGTTTGCTAAACAAGGTATTAAAAAAGCCTAAATTAAAAATAAAACTTTGTTTTCTTATTTAGCAAACAGTATTGCCAAGACGGAGAAGAAAATAAAAATATAATTAGACAGCGTAATAATGGGATGGTTAAATACTTTAAATTTATATAATTAGGAAGAAATATACATATCTTATTTTTGGAGATTTCAAGGCAGCGGCGGGTGTAATAAAAATAAAGAATACCATTTATATTTCTGAAACTTCCAATTTTTTTCGTGGTAGTGGGTGAACCAATTGGCCAAAAATAAAATTGTATTTTTATTCAAAATCATCAATATTAGTGGGCGGCAGGGTTCGCTAAACAAGGTACAAAAAAGTCTCGCCTAAACCACGTTCTCTTACATCACATTTATATTTGTAGAAGTGGTTTAGCGCAGTGGGAACGGTTTGGTTTCCCAACATCGAGGTCGGGGTTTCAATCCCTTGCTGTGCATTTTGCTTGTGTCCTTGGGCAAGGCACTTTATCTGCATTGCTTCTCTCCACTCAGGAGTATAAATGGGTACCTGGTGGGGTTAAATGCCAACATGCGCTGATTTAGCTGCTGCAACTTTATGGAACAGTTTGTGTTCCATAGGCATCTAATCCAATGACCAGGGGTAGTAATGTGAAGCGCTTAGAGGCCTTGTTGGCATTAAGCGCTATATAAATATAACATATTATTATTATTATTATTATCACGGTTATTAAAATTGGCCAATCATAAATGCACCAGACACACGTGCTATGTGCACATCGGTGTGAGCAGATACCTCTCACGTACGCCAGAAGATGCCAACCACACAACAAATACAATAAATTCTAAAGCCCTGTCCAGACTATCAAATGCCTATATATAGTCATGATGTGCCTATATATGGTCATGATGTGATGTCATCTGACTATATTTAGGCATATCACATGTTTTTGTCAAATAAAATCTGATGATTTGGATAGGGCTTTCAGAAGACCAATCAAAATTTTAGAATAAGGAAAAAAGAGACTAATTTGGATTGAAGTTGTGAAAACAGTAGCAAAAACACAAGCTGAAAGAGTTTCCATAGCAACTAGCTAGGAAAATAAAATTTAAATGCAATACCTTTCCTCAATGATAGGGCTTGTAATTGGAGGGAGAGTGAAACAAAATTGAAAAAGAAAAAAATAAATGTAAAGTATTAAAAACATGCATGATATATAAGAAATGAGCATTTATAGTGCCCCAATATATAAAAAATGTGACAAAGAGTTGAAAATACTCTGATGCATAAATTAAAATAAATGATTAAGAATTCAACTTATTTGTTTTACCTGTAATGCGCCACTGAGCTTCTAACATACTGCGCCGCCTAAAAAAGAAAAATTGAAATTATATACAATCGTACAGACAAAGTAATGCAGAAAAAAAATAAACAGGCTGACAGATTAACAGATTATCAGACAAATAGACAAGTGGATTGTTAGATGGATGTATGTAATAGTGGATGGATAGTTAGATAGATGGACAGATGGATGATAGATGAATGGACAGATGGACGGACAGACGGGATGGATGGATAGATGGAAGGATGGATGAATGGAAGAATGGATGAATGAATGGTTGAATGGATGGATGGACAGATGAATGGATGGATGAATTGATGGACAGATGGACAGACAGACAGACAGATGAGATGGATGGATAGATGGATGGATGAATGAATGAATGGATATATAAATGGATAGATGCATGTATGCATGCATGGATGAAAGGATGGATGTATATATGTATGGATGGATGGATGGATGAATGAATGGATGGATGGATGGATGGATGGATGGATTGATGGATGGATGGATGGATGGATGAATGAATGAATGGATGGATGGATGGATGGATGGATTGATGGATGAATGAATGGATGGTTGGATGGATGGGTTTATTAATGTATGAATAATTGATAGATGGATGCATAGATGGACAGATACTAAATAATAAATAATTTCAATTTGTATGAAGATTAAACATAAATTTGTTGTGGTAAAAACTAAACTGACTATATTATATATGTTCTCTTACCGTGCCAGGCCGTGTGGTATCCATAGATTCCCGTAATTGAGTTGTAAACAATCTGGAGCAGACAGTCTGTAAATATTCAGGGGTAACCTGAAAACAAGAAAGTTAATTCAAAGCAAATTAAAAATAAAAGCAATTTAAGGAAATCACTTACATGAATTAGTTACATAGTCATTTACACACATCAATTAGAAATACAAATCAGATGCTTGGTTTTATAAATTTCATATCCAACAGAAAATACACTTGCCAATATTGCAAGCAGAACAGGTTAGAACAGGTTAGAACAGGTTTGAACAGTTTAAAACAGGTTAGAACAGGTTAGGACAGGCTTGGAAAATTGAGGCTTAGTGAGTGAGGTTATTTTAATTTATGTAAAAACACACAGTATTACAGGATTTGAACCCAAGACCCTTAAAATAAAAGGTAAGCAACTTCCCACAAGACTACAGTGTATTGACAATTTAGACACTTGGTAAAGTAAATTTTCTTACCATATTTCCGTTAATGCAGTTCTCTAATGAATCAACTAACTCTGCAGTTATGCCAATTAAATTATGATAGTCACTCTAGAAACAAAATAAACAAAAACACCCTGTGATCTATGTTAGAACAAATTCACTTAATATAAATTTGCATGAATAAAGCTAAAAAAGAATACTTCTGTTAAAGTAATTATTTTAAAGACCAAATAATTTATCACCATCAGCTGAATCATAGATAAAACTTTATTGCATGTGCAGTGGCATATAATGGAACCTTGAACTATGACCCAAGTTAAAAGGTCAATATTCATACATCACTTACACACTCACACAAAATAATATTAATCAGATTTTAGGAAGCACCATTCTAAACCAGTGATCATTAAGTGCAATAATTATCTTTAAAAATAAATAGCATACCTGAAGGTAATTGTAGCGCTTAACATAGGCTGTGGCTTTCTTCTCGGCGTCAACAACATTCCGCTGTAGTTGTTGAAGTTGAATGGACATTTCTAGAAACATGAAAAAAAATATGATTTTATTTTTATTACACAAAAATAAAGTAATGTTACTAAGAGAATTTTTAAATTTAATTTAAAGTAACACAAGGAGAAAAACAATGGAATTGAACCAGGTACTGACCAAAGAATCTCCACAGTTAGTGCTGCTCTCTAATAGATATAATAGATCTTTCCGGCTTGTCAATCAAACTTAACTGACCAATAAAGGGGCCAGGAATATGTGTTCAACAATACACATGTTTTCCCACTAATGCGCATGTTTGCACTAATGCGCATGTTTGCGTATGTTTTACACTGTTGTTTTGGGGAGTTAGCAACAATATCCAAGGGGTGTGGCTTAGTGAAAATGTCAATCATCACAATATATATCATAAATCTGACTTTTGCAGTGCCCACACCAGCCTCACACATACAACAACCTTGTAAAAATATATAAGAAATATGAGGATACGGAACAGGGCTAGAAAAAGTGCTGACTCTCTGACAGACAATTGGAGGAATTTTGTTGCATAGTAATTCTGATGAATGAAAGTCTTACCTTTTGAAACATCTTGCTGAGATAAAGAGTTAGGAATAAAAATACAAAATAATTTGTAGAAAGAAATTTCGTAGAAAGCAACATGAATAAACGCCAAAAAACAATTAAAAGAAAATAATTTGTAATACCAGCACAAAACACTTCAGATAAATGTACAAGAATTGAAAGGAAGAAAAAATCATTTTCATTGTCAGCAATCTGTTTATTAAAAAGGATACATAAAGCTCAAAAAGTCTAGGCTGTGGCCTAGCCGGTAGTGTAAGGACGAGGAACGTCTCTAGCCTGGTCTTTAGGTCTGGTACCCAATGGTCCAAAAACAGTTCCTTATAGGCTGGGTGCTTGGTGGGGTCTGGTACAAAGGGCAAGGCATAGAAGGGAAGGAATTCTGTTGTCTGGCTTAACACAGCTCCTCGCGTTTCGATGTATGATTTAAACTCACTCATCGCACCTTCCACTCGAACTGAACTCTGAATCAGTAATATAAACAATTTTAGAAATAAAATACAATTTATATTTACATAGTCATAGCTAAAAATATTATTGTTTTTATACTTATTAAGTATTATTTTCTAATATTTGTATTCCTTTTTATTTATTTTTTTTTGCTGATTTTACTTGTTAATGTTTGACAGTCCTTCTAAACTGCTAAAATAAAATACAACGTGAAATGAATGAGTGAAATCAATCAATAATTTAATCATTAATTTCTCAAATTAATCAATCAATCAATCAATCAATAATCTATCAATCAAACATAACCAATCAACCAAACATTCAAACAAACAATTAGAAAATCTTTCAATCATTTAATTAAACAATTAATAATTAGTCAATCATCTCTTTCTCTATTAATCAATCAAGTACCAATTAGTCAATCAACCCAATACTCGATCAATCAGCCAATCATTCAATCAATCTATCAATCAATAAATAAATAATTTTTTTAAATCAATTAATCATTTAGCCAAGCACTAAATCACTCCAATAGTCAATTATTCAATCACTCATTCAATACAAATGCCTACACAGTACTTGGCTATTTTATTCGTACTTGGTTGATCCATAATCTTTCTATTATTTTATTACAATTTTTTTTTTTCCAATTGGTAAAATTTAGACTTTAACGTAGAGCATTTTAATCTCTGTTTGTGTAAAGGTGCTTTAGAATTACTTTGTAATAATAAATAATAATAAAGTCGTATACTTAAAACTTAAACCATCTGAAGTATAAGTATAATCAATCGAAAATGGAATCCATTCATTCACAGATCCATCCACCTACCAATCAATAATCAAATAAATCAGTAAATTTTGGAATTAAAAGACAAATTAATAAATACAAATGAACAATACAAATTTTTACAAAGCAAGACTACTGTTTACAGTGAGTTAGTTTTACCTTCTTTCCTGTTAAAATCTGATACTTGATGGGAAAAATTGCAAAATAAATATTTAAATAGAATTCCAGCTTCTTGCATGTTGGATCTCCTTTATGCACACCCTCCGGAATGTTCTCATTCCAGAGCTGGAAAAATTCCTTCCTGGCTCCCATACTGAACAGACTCAGAATATCAGCCTACAAAGATTTATTAGAAGGGAAAATAATTTTGAGTATATTTTTTATAAAAGTATAATCAACAATAAATAGAATTAAACTTGTTTAAAACATATTCATATACATATTTTTTTTAAATTAAAATCTGTTCTTTCGAAATGTTGAATTCTCTCTGCTTTAATTGATAGATTTATCTTTTGTAAATTCTATTACCACTCTAATGCTGATTTGATAGCAATTATATTGAAATTAAAGTCAAATGTGTTCCTTATCTTCATCTTATACCCTTTTCACACTAATAGAAAATGTTTTATCTCCTGAGATATTTTATTTGTTTCACACACAAAATATTCTGAACCATGCAAAATTTCAAAGAATAGCAGTAGGCCTAGAAAAGGTAGGCCTAGCAAGCACGACATAAATTTGTTCTCTGTGACCTGCTGGCAGTACGAACGCATGTACCTCAATGAAGCCCATTTTTCTTCCGAGATGTCACAGAGGTCACTGTCATATCTCAGAAAGTTTTACATGGATTTGCTTTCACACTACACAAACCTGGTTAAAACTTGATTACTATTTGCAAAATAGTGACAGTGTAAAAAAAGTTTAAGTAATAAATAAATATGGGCTCAAAAATTAATTATGATACCATTTTGAGAGATGGCCATATTATTTTGGAAGTAATTTACCTGCAGATCTTGTTTCTTCTTATTCCATGGCCGGGTTGGGGTTTCTTTTAGTGGTTTTGCTCGTTCTTTTACCTCAGCTTCAAACATGGATTCTGATTTGTGAAACCCACAATATGCCAAATACTGCAGAGAAATTGCACATTATACATAAAATGACAATTTTTGAATACAAAATTTATTTTTTCATTGAAATCATCATCATCAACAACATCTGTATCACCATGTTTGCTATCACTATCATCCTGATCAAAATCATTAACATCAATATCTTACATGCCAAGTTGGATGTAGCTAATGCTTGAGATTTAACAGGAAATTTAAAAAAATTGGGCTTAGATGCTCTCTGAAATAGATACCTAGTGTTCAAATAGAAATGACGTAATGTATAGCGCCATCAGTGTTAGTTTCCTACTTAGATAACACACATGCATACGCTACTGTTTATGTCTCTGAGTGATCCATTTCGCGAAGCTAGAATAGGAATGATAGAATTTTCGATGATTCTGGGCCTGATAAACTATAGAATTGTGAAGGATTCGAGTATTTCGACAAAAAGTTTGGGTTTAATAAAATAAAGCTTGAGATAAGTGGAAAAGTGTGAGATTTTAGGTAAATGGTTTGAGAGCTTGAGGTTTGGTCGAAAAGTGTGAGGCTCACGCCAGATACGTGGGACTTGGTAGGTATGCAATATTACCACTATCATCACTTCTTATCACAACCACCACCATCATCATCATCCTCATAATCAGCAGAATCATTTATCATCATCAAATTCAACATCATCATCATCATCACCAATGTCACCCTCATAACCAGCATCATTACCCCACCACTCATAGAAATACATAGTAATACTGAAATGCATTTTACTAACTTGAGAAGTCTGCTATCATCACCAAATCATCAACACAACCACAATATTTCACCACCAACATTATCCTCACCATCAAGATTAATACCATGGTGTTAATGATGATGATACTATCAATATCATTCCCTCTACCATCATCAACACAATCATGTTAAAGTTACATTGGATACAATAACTATCACCACAGCTTTGCAGATTAATTGCAAATTAATATTACAAAATATATTGACTAGCATTGAATGGATAAATTCAATGCAACAAACATTAAATGGATGTAATATCATTAGTGCCTTTAGTGGGGTGGTGTATCCAGGAGTCTTGAAATGAGGGAGCTGATAGGGGAGGGGTGGGGACACGAAGGTGGAGTAGTGGACTTAGTGAAGGGTGCTAGGTAGCAAAATAAGGTGATTTCTAACTACTTGAGCATGATTTTTTTGCTTCGGATATTTTCAATGGGGGAGACTGGGAGGAGACAAGAGCTTTTTTTAGGGGGTGTGTGCCCCTCCCACAAGCACCCCTAGATGCAGCACTGCTTTAGTGTAAATTCACTCATCATGATGGAAAGGTATTGATATGTAAGGCAATAAAGGCACTCCATTACCAAACCAGTACCACTTATGGCAGTATAAACCTACTTCTTTAACGATGGCGTTTAGATCACCTTCAAATGCTGCAACAAGGTTGCCAGGTTCTGCTGGTTTTCTTGAGCCCATTTTACAATGAGTAACTATAACTGTGTGTAAGAAAGTCAACAATCACTTTATCATTTACAAGATCATAAGCATTATCAATAAGCATTTAAACAAGTCCTATTATTAGGCTTCAGCGAAGTTAGAAAAAAAAATGATTACAGTAATTAGTTTCTCGTTCAACTGACCACTCCATTTTGTTGCCGCCACCTAATCTTTTTTCAATATTGCAGTATTTCTTTGAGAAAAACTCTGTATATATCATCAAATATTAATAAGTTTCTCCCTCGGAAAAGTAGAGCGCTTAAATATTATAATAAGCAAAAACATGATTTTTTTTTGCTAAGCACAACAATCAATTATGCACCATGGTGTTATTATTACAATTATATACATCACAGCGCATTTTTATATTGAGAATACAGTAGATAGGCCATCATGGTGCATAATTAATTGTTGTGCTTAACCAAAAAAAAAATCATATTTTTGCTTATTATAATATTTAAGCGCTCCACTTATCCGAGGGAGAAACTTATTAATATTTGATGATATATACAATGTTCTTTTCAAAGAACATTCTTCTCAAAGAAATACTGCAATGACGAAAAAAGATTAGGTAGCAGCAACAAAATGGAGTGGTCAAGTGAATGAGAAACAAATTAATCATATAATGTGCATAAACCTATATATATGTATATTCGCACAGCGTTGTCATCGGGACACTATAAAATAATCAATTTCTAATGGATAATTACCAGGCCCCCAGACAAAAAAATGTTAGGAGTGCGTGGAGAATATATCCTCTGCACAAAAATTTACCCTAGAAATCTGTCCGTGCATCTCGGAAAATATGGGCCGATTTCCGCACATATTTTGCCGAAAATTAGGCTTTGACCAAATTTTAATATAATACCAATGGCATACAATTATTATGCAGCAAGTACAATCTTGCTTGCCTATATTCCTAGCGATTTTTGAGCAAATTTTAGCTGATTTTTGAGATATCTAATACGCAATTAAAAAACTTTACAGTATAGCCAGGCCCCCATGGCCATAAACTATCTGGTTTCTTCTTGGCATTTCGTTCCATAAAAAATAATTTGGAAATTCAATGAAAATTATTCTAAAAAGAATAAAAACTATTTCTACTTAAGCCTAAGCTAGACTACTAGGCCTAGCTGCCAACTGCAGTGCCGATCAATCACAACAACGTGTAACATTGTTGGGATATCTCCCCCACCCCACCTTCAATCTTCCTCCCTACCTAGGCCTTGGCCTAACTGTCTGTACTCCTCGAGTATAACCTACTCCTCCTCATCCTTCTGGCTAGCCAGATAGTATCTAGATGACCAGCGTCCAGGTAGGCCTAGGCCTATAATTTATAGTATAAAGAGGATTATTTTTTAATAAAGTAAAACGCCTAATTAAACACTATATGTATCCGTATGGTACACATAACATATATTCATCATTCTATACAATTGTTAATTATTATGCCTATCAAACGAACCCACAAGCAGACGGTTATTCTTGTTGGTATCTCCATTCAAAAATTCTCCGCGATGTAAATATTTTTGTTGCCCTTCTCCACGGTCAGAGTTCAAAGGTTACATGTGTACGACATGTGAAAAAAACCAACAACAACGGAAAGGAAAGGTGCTAGTTTAGAATTTGTATGAATTAATGTCACATCATGCAAAAAGCACAAGCATCAAACCAAGATAACCCAGTTGTCTTTTTCGATATTGAAATCGGAGGTCAAGTAAGTATGCAAAATAAAAACGGCCTAGGCCTAAGCTATGCCATAATAACTAAGCCTAGCTAGGCCTAGGCAATTATTGCTTACTAACTTAGCCTAGGCTAGGCCTAGTTTCTAGTTAGCTAGCTAGGCCTACTTACTTACTACACTAGTTTAGGCCTGAGTCAGGCCGAAGAGAAGACAAGAAAGGGAAGGGAAGGAAGAGTGGGTCCTCCTCCTCCTTTTGTCCTAGGCTAGGCCTACTTGCAGCAAATTATTAGGCCTTGACATTTGTTAAAATTAATTGTTTAGAGCATCCCCCCCCCCCACCAGTTTTTTTTTTTTTTAAATATTAAGTTTTACAGTGTAGGTGGTGTAGGCCTACACACCATTTATTATTACCAAACAATGAAGCATAATTAACAAAATTGGCCGTGGATATTGTTTCAACAACCTTACGTAAATCCGAGTTTTTGATTGGTGGAACCTTAAACTTCAGTCTTGCTATTTTAATGCACTACAGCATGACGGAAGGATACCATAGATCAAGATCAAGATCGATCAAGACTTAAGGCCAACTCAGACTGAGTCGTCCTGGAAGGAAACAAGAGAGTGATCCAATTTCGAATAATTTTATGTTTTTTTTTTTTGCATATGTCACCAAACTTTTATATAAATTTGATCCATTTGATACCACCTAGTACAGTTTACTTGCTTGTAAGTGATAATAATAATAATAATAATAATAATAATAATAATAATAATAATAATAATAATAATAATTTTAATAATAATAATAATAATAATAATAACAAAATAATAATGACTTTATTTGAAAATGGAAAACTTGATCACAAATTAAGTGTTTTTCACAAGGCCATTTCAAAGTACATTAACTTACAAAATTATTATTATTAAATACAAAATTAAAATTACAAAGTCAAAGTAAAAAAACAAGACAAAAACAATATTATTAAATATCTTATGCAAGAACTTTCAATTATTTAAAAAAAAAATATGAACATTTGGGGCCATTCTTGTATTGATGTTTAGGTTATTCCAGACAATGGCTACCTGATAGGAAAAGCTTCTTTTCTCATATTCTGTGCTTGGTTTGGATGCCTCAAGTAAATCATTAGACCTGGTCATATATGTTTTACTGCGCTCTTGAAATTTGTTTTTTTAAATAGGTTGGCATTTTAGAATTCATTATTTTAAACATGGTTATAGCTTGATGAATATACTTTTATGCCACAACAAAATCTGAACACAGAAAGAAATTGATATAGTTTCCTTTTTTTTGTGTTGTAGGAGATAGGTCGCATGAAGATGGAATTATTTGCAGATGTGGTGCCAAAAACAGCGGAAAACTTCAGGCAGTTTTGCACAGGAGAACATAAGTGAATTATGTTAATATTAAATTATATAATAAATATAAATATATAAAATTTTTTATTTATGTACTACAGTAGCAGGGGCCCCAAGTTTAAAGAAGTCAATTTTGGGAGCAGGGGTTGCGCCAGGGCCCCCCCTCCCCCGAAAAAAATTATATGTACTGTATTTTCTACATGATTAGTAGACATTAAAATCACTTTGCTCCCATCAGGGACATCGGCCCCCTCGTCGGTGACCACGGAAGCCCTCAGCGCCACCCTTGTCCGGGAGATGCAGTAACAAATCCAAGAATTCGCAATTAGAAGCAGTGAGTGGTTCTCACAGATATCTATACCACCTCAGCCCCACCATGGCTGGGGCTGAGATAAGAAATTTTATGATAATGGCACCTCTAGGTGGCCAACAATGGCACTCTCAGACTAAAATTTGAATATTATCTTTTTCTCTCCATTTTTTTTTTATTTTGAAAAATTTGGGTGGGGGAGGGGGGACTTCCTTCTTGAATCCACCACTGATTTGCTAATGAGCTTTCTTAATATTTAGTTATATTTTTTCTGCACATTGTGATACACGTTGGCAATTATTTCTGTGAAAAAAATTGATAATAAAGTAGTGAAAACGTGCAAATATTATGAATTTGTGGGATATGGGTTAATTTCTGGGAGATTCTTGCTTGCTTCCGGGAGACTTAGGACCCCTGTACTAATACTGTATAATATAAGTTGCAGGTATATAACTACATATTATTTTTCTTGGATTTTTTTCAAATACAAAAACTGGCATTTTTCACACAGCTAGAGAGAAAAGACTGTAACACATCGTTGACTTGTAATTGGTTATTTGCATATCTGCTGTGCGATCTGTGCACAATGGTTATCTGTATGTCTAGTCTGGCTATGTTAGCGTACTTACATGATATTCATGTGGAATTTTTTGTACTTGATGGTACAGAGCCCATGCTAATAACCACTTTAAACCAAATGAAAGCTCAACTGTAGAGTGAGGTCTTTCTCTAGGAACATCCTTTGCGTTGACAAATAATGCCAATCTTGATAATTGTTTATTTCCATCAAAAATTTTAAAAATTATTAATGGGAGCCAAAATATTTTTGCTGCCATAAATGTCCTAATATGTTATTTCCACAATTATATAGGAAAGCAGTGCTAAAAAATAATTACAGATTATGTTTTTAAATGTTGATAATCAAGAATACGTTCAGAATTTGTGGAAGACCAGTTAGAGGTTTTTTTCTCGCTAGTGGGGTAAGGGGTTGCAGGAGCCTGTGCCAATTTGTAGAAGACTCCTACAGTAGTTACTCATGTGAGATGCAAGACACCTGATGTACACATATGTGTGGTTTTTTTTATTTTAATTAATAATAATGTGACATTTATAAAGTACATATTGCAATAAACTGCCTATGCGCTTTACATCATTACCTCGGGCAACGTTGAGAGTCTGAGCCACAACCGCTACGCCAACCACTTCCACATTAATCTGTGTAAATTATGTGCATGTTTAAACCATGTTATTTTAAAACATGCTGATAATTAGATAATTGATTTTGAAATAATCAGTGGCCAGTTAATTATAGTTAATTATTACCTCATTTGCATTTTTTCAGGAAAGACGGAGTTCCAATTGGCTTCAAAAAAGCAACTTTCCACAGAGTTATCAAGGATTTTATGATTCAAGGAGGTGACTTTGTAAAAGTAAGGCCAAGTAAAATAAATATTCTGCATACATTTTTTTTTGAGCTACCAGTGCTTTCAGATCAAGTCACTAGTACCCATTTCACACGGATGCTATTTTGCAAATATTAACAACTTGTAACCAGGTTTGGATGAGTGTGAAAGCAAAATCCTTGTAAACTTTCTGAGATTTCACAGGGGTCCCCTGAGTTATCTCGGATCAAAAACAGACCATCGCGAGGCCTGTTTTTTTTCCGAAATATCTTTCGAGTTGTTGTTGCACATGCGTCATGTCCATATTTTGACCTTTTTGCGGGCTGTGTGTTTTTTTTTTTTTAGTTCGAACGAATGGCGGCAGCGATGGAAAACGTATCAACATTACTACCATTTGTTAATAGGCCTAGAAAATCAAAAGAAATCTCGCTAAATTTCACATGTCTGATGTAGAAACAATCACAAGGCTTCGTAAAATACGCCGACAGCGAATCATTATGATGCTTCTCGCACTGATTGCCTCTAAAAACAATGGTGAGCTACCGGCCGGCGGCCCGACTGCGCCTAGCTAGCCTAGGCCTATCTTTCTCGCCAGCTCGACTACAGCAAGCGAGCTAGGAGTTGAATTCGTTTTACTCTCCGAAGGCTAAGGACC